AGAATCCCCGTGAGCTCCTGGGCATGGAGCAGCTCCACCTCCAGAGAATCCCCGTGAGCTCCTGAGCATGGAGCAGCTCCACCTCCTGAGGAGAATCCCCGTGAGCTCCTGGGGATGGAGCAGCTCCACCTCCAGAGGAGAATCCCTGTGAGCTCCTGGGGATGGAGCAGCTCCACCTCCAGATGGAACAAAACCAGAACATGGAGTCACTGAATCCCAGAGCAGGCTGGGTGGGAAGGGACCCTGGAGCCCATCCCATCTCGAAAGAAAAAAAAACCAAAAAACAAGAGAACAAAATGCTTCAGCCTAAGTCTTACATAATTCCCTTTGCTAATCCAATTAATCTCCTTGCTCACTCAGTGCTGCTGGAAAAGATGCAACAACACATCTTGAGGAGGAATTCTGAACACACCAGATAAAAAAGCTGAAGTTTCTACAACCTCTCTGTCCTGAGCTTTTCCCAGCCTAGCACCCGTGCAGCCCTGCAATTCCCAGCTCCATTTCAATCCCTGAACAGACACAACAGCCTGCAGGGGAAAAGCAAATTAAGAATGTAGAGGCCTCTGAGGGTTTATATTTGAATGTGTTCCCTGCTTCTATCACCCAGCAGCCAAAGCTTCTTCAGACACAGGGATGGGAATTTTCCAGTCTTTCTCTCACTGAACTTTCATAAAGCTTCTTAATTAATGAAGCAATTAAAACTCCAGAATTAGATTTGAAATAGGACAATCCTATTCCCACCTTCATTTCTGTTTGGTTGACAAAGTAACACAAAAAAAGCTGCACTCAGATTTTAGTGGTTGTTACTCAAGCTTCATTTCCCCAAGGCCACTGAGATTGTGCCCACAGGAGCCTTGGTGTTATTTATCCCTGTGGAAGTGAGAGCTGGATATTCCAAACAGAACTGCACCTGCAGACACAAACAAATTCCCCGGAGGCATCCCAAATGGAACAGGGTCAGGAAAAACAAAATCACAGCACAGAAATGTCTTTATTTATACTTCCAGGAATAACCATGCAGGCAAACTGCTGATTCCATGTTCCCAGGAGTGGTGGGAAAAAAAAAAAATTATCTTTTTCCCCCAAAGCTAAACACTTTCCTGGTCTAGGGGAACACAAACTCAAGTCCAACCTCGAGTCTGCAACAAGAATCACAGCACACACCAGGTTCAACCTGATTCTTATCAGCCCGGCATGAAACTGAGGCCACAAACGCCCTGAGGGAGAGAAGTCCTTTCTATTCCATGGATTCGGTACCAAAACCGGCTTTGGCAACTGTGGAATTTTCACCCAGCATCAACAAGAGGAAGTGAGAAGCAGCCGAGGCTTTTTCTGCCGCTCATCCCCACGTTTACGCAGACGGAACTGCAGCGCTGCTGATTTTGGTTTAAATTTCTGTAACGTTTTACTGACAGCAGCCACCGGGATTGTGCAACCTCTCCCCGGCACCACCTTAAACTCTCACCCTCGAGGTGTTTGCGCTCCTAAATCCCTTCACGCGTAACTCAGCCCCAAAAAGGAGCACACTCGGCTGCAAAGCGGGCAGTAGGATGAGGTGCGTGCTGAGAGTAACCGAGTTATTAAAACTTATTGACAAGCAAAAAAAAGTAACGAACTTCAACATCCCCACGCTGGCACAGCCTGCTCTCCCCGGGGAAGCCTGAACTCCACCAAAACTCAGCAGCAGCTTTTCCAGAGGGGATGATCCCAGGGTTCCCTGCCCGCCGGGCCGGGCCCAGCGCGCTGCGGCCGCGGGAGCCCCGGAGGCGCCTCCGGGGCGGCCCCACCCGGGATCCAAAGGCGAGCCCGGAGGGAGCAGCGGCCGCAGCGCCGGGAACGGCCCCGCACCGGTAACGACCTCACCGGGACCCGCCGGCCCCGCTCCGCCCCGCCGCCCTCAAACCGGGCCCAGGCGCGGGGAGGCCGCACGCGGCCCCTCCGGCCCCACCGGCAGCGCGGCCCCTCACGTCCTCCCTACCTCTTGGGGGGCGGCCCCCCCGCGCCGGCCGCCCCGTTGGGCGCTGGCGGAGCCGCCGCTGTCGCCGCGGCCGCCGCCGGGGGCGGCTCCATTTTCCCGGGGGCGTTTTGCGAGGCCGCGGCCGCCGCCATTTCCCAGCGCGTCCTTTGTGTGGGGAGCGCGGGGCACGACGGGACGGCGCCGCAGGCCGGGCCGCCAGGGGGCGCTGCGCTGCTCATGCGCGCGAGGGGGAACGAGCGCCGGGCGGGGAGGAGGGAAAGGCGCGCGGGGCGCTGCGCATGCGCGGTGAAGCGGCAGCGTCGTCCCCGCCGGTGATAATGGCGGTTCTGCGCGGGCGCGGTGTGGTGGCGCCGAGCAGAAGGGGCGGGCAGTACCGGGGAGGGAGGATCTGAGAATGCGCAGAGCTGGGGCCACGCGGTTCGGGCGGGGCTGGCGGCAGTGGCACCTGGGGCTGCCCTCGCTGGCGGGAATTAGAGGCTGTGCGCATGGGAGGAGCGCTGTACGGAATGGCGGCAATGGCAACGCCGTGTGCGCACTGCAGCGGTGCCGTACAGCATGGCTGCCATGGCTACGCATGCTCAGTGGGATGATCAAAAAAACCCAGCAGTGAACTTAAAAGCACTCAGAGTCTTCAGTTTTAAGGAAGAAAGTGTCATTTTAAACACAAAACAGACGATCTGGGGACAGTTATCCACATGATGAATATGTGTCACGGGAGATCAGGGGAGGCAAAGACCCACATCCCGTGCTGCTGTGAGGAAGCCGAATTTCCCCAGCCCCAGATCGCAGCCCCGGCGTCCCCCAAGCCGCCCGGCAGGACCCAAGAATCTGCGGAACCCCTTATGAGGCCGCGGCTCTCCGGCGGACTCTTGGCTGGGCTGCACAACAGCCGCGGGCGGAGCTGTTGACAGGCAGCTGGATCAGCCAATAACAGACGAGGATCGGGGAGGCCGCGGCTCGCTGGGCCAATGAACGGCGGAGGGGGCGGGGCCACACCCGGAAGCGGCGAGCGGCGCGGAGGCAGCACCGGCAGCACCGGGGATCAGGAGAAGCCGCAGCGATGTCGGAACGAAAAGTGCTGAACGTGAGTTGGGGGGAAATCCCCGCCAAGGGAGGGGCCAGGAGGGCGTTCCGAGCCGGGCTGGGCCGCGGGAGGGTTCCCCGAGGGCGCTGGGGGGCGTCCCGGTTGGTTCGGGAGTCACTCGGAATCTCGGGATCGCTGAGGCTGGAAAAGAACCGAGATGCAGTCCAGGCTTGCCCGGTGCCCACCTTGTCACCAAGTCCAGAGCACCGAGTGTCACGTCCAGGCCGTCCTTGGACACCTCCAGGATGGAGACTCCAAACCTCTCTGGGCAGCTCATCCAGTGTTTAACAACCTTTCCTTGAAGGGGTTTTCCCAAAATCCAATTTCAGCCTCCTCTGAGGTCGTTTCCACTCATCCTGTCGCTGTTCCCTAGCAGCAGAGCCCGACCCCCACCTGGCTGCCCCCTCCTGTCGGAGCTGTGGGGAGTGAGAAGAGTCCTGGTGGTCCCGCATTCCCAAATCCACTCTCTCTCCATAGAAATATTCCTGGCATTCCCAAATTCTCTCTCTCTCTCCATAGAAATATTACCCCCCGGACTTTGATCCGGCCAAGATCCCGAAGCTCAAGCTCCCAAAGGACAGGCAGTACGTGGTGAGGCTCATGGCCCCCTTCAACATGAGGTGAGAGCGGCTTTGGAGCCACGGGATCACTCCTGGAATAATGGGATCACTCGTGGAATGGTTTGGGAGGGGTTGGAAAGGCCCCAAAGCCCATGAAGGAGCTGACAGGAAGGATGAACAGAGAACAGTGACAAGGGATGGAGGGACAGGACACAGGGAATGGTTTCCCACTGCCAGATGGCAGGGATGGACGGGATATTGGGAAGGAATTCCTGGCTGGGATGGAATTCCCAGAGCAGCTGTGACTGCCTCTGGATCCCTGGAATGTCCAAGGCCAGGTTGGAGCAGCCTGGGACAATGGAAAGTGTCCCTGCTATGGCAGGTGTGGCAGTGCAGGGGACCCAAACCAACCCACAATTCCCCAATTTTGGGCGTTGCTCACCCTTAAATTTCCAAAGCCAAAAACATCCTGACACAACCAGTCACCTGGGCTGTTCCTGGTGTTCATTCCCTGCTTTTTTGAGGTGCCCTGGACATTTCCCTCCCCTTGCCCCAGGTGCAAGACGTGTGGGGAGTACATCTACAAGGGCAAGAAGTTCAACGCCCGCAAGGAGACCGTGCAGAACGAGGCGTACCTGGGGCTGCCCATCTTCCGTTTCTACATCAAGTGCACACGCTGCCTGGCTGAGATCACCTTCAAGGTCAGCCTGGCCCCGCAATTCCGGCCTCTCCCTGCCTGGGAGAGCTCGGGGTGCATCCCAGGGAACGGCTGGAGCTGTGCCAGGGCGGTGGGGTGGGGATCAAGGGAAGGGTTTTACCTCCAAGGGTGGTGGGGCAGTGAATTCCCCCAGGGAATGAGGGGGGCAGAGCTCCAGGAGCTTTTGGACAGTGGGGTTGGTGGGATTGTCTCGTTCAGAGAGAGGAGCTGATGGTCCCCATGATTCCCTGACACTCCAGTCCCAGCATGGGGATCAGCCCTTCCTGGGCAGTTTTGTTCAGGGAATGTGTGGCTCTTGAGGTGGCCATGGGCTGGCTGGAGCAGGATTCCCACCCACCATGGTTTTCCTGCTGTTCCCTCTCAGACAGACCCCGAGAACACGGATTACACCATGGAGCACGGTGCCACCAGGAACTTCCAGGCAGAGAAGCTCCTGGAGGAGGAGGAGAAGAGGATGCAGAAGGAGAGGGAAGAGGAGGAGCTCAACAATCCCATGAAGGTACAAGGACTGCAGGAAAACCTCTCCCACACTGCCTGACTCTCCCCAGCCACAGCAGTGACCTCCTAACCATTCAGACTTTCCTGTCTTACCCAAAAATGAGGATGAGGAGGATCCTCTTGTGCTTCATCCAGCATGGGGAGGTGTTGGAGGCTCCTGTGCAGGCTCTGCTGCCTCAAATATCCCAACTTATCCCATCCAGGTCCTGGAGAACCGAACCAAGGACTCCAAGCTGGAGATGGAGGTCCTGGAGAACCTGCAGGAGCTGAAGGAGCTCAACCAGCGCCAGGCCAACGTGGATTTTGAGGCCATGCTGAAGCAGTACAAGGAGCTGGAGGAGGAGCAGAGGCGCAAGGAGCAGGAGGAGGACGAGCAGGAGATGAAGTGAGGGGGCTGGGAGTGCTGGGATGGGGGATGAGCCAGCCTGGGCCTGGACAGAGGGGGCTGAGTTACCAGATTTGGGGAGCTGGGAGGAAATCCCAGTCTGTCGTGGCAAAGTGCTCAGGGAGAAGGAGTGGAAGGTGCTTCCAACCCAGCCAGGCTGGGATTCTGTGGGATCTGGGCTGCTGAGGGGGGGGTCCCATCCCTTGGGAAGTGCCCTCACATGGACCCAGTTCCTGCTGTGGGGTGAAGCTCCAGATCCCAGTGCTCTCACCCCTCAGGCTTGAACCTGATCCCATAAAACCCCTTGGGAAGGGGATCCCGAGGCTCTGCCGCTGGCCCCAGCTCCCCTGGAGCAAGCAGGGCCTGGCAGTGGGATGGATCCAGCTCCAACACTCCTGTGTCCCCACAGGGCCATGCTGGAGCAGGCCCAGAACCGCCGGCTCCTGGACGATTCCGACTCCGAGGAGGAAGCAGCAAAACCCCGCCCGAATCCTGCAGCCCCGACAAAACCCACAGACATCCTGCAGGAGGTGAGGGAGCCCCAGCCCTGACCGTGTCCCAGAGCTCTGTGTGCCCATTGTGTCCCTGTCTGAGTGACACCAGGCTCGTGTCACGCCTGAGCAGCTCCCAAAGGCTCTGTCCCTGTGAACTGGGCTGAGAGGAGCCAGGGATCACTCGGGGATTTTAGGCTGTGCTTGGTGACAATCCTGTCCCCATCCTGCCTTCCTGGGGAAGAACAGAGCTCTGCTGGGCCCTGCTGCTGCTTCAGGCAGGATTGCAGCGCTCTGGGCTCTCCCTGGGCTGTGCTTTGGGTTCAGGGAGAACAAAAGAGCTCCCAGAGCCCGGCCTGGAGGGAGGGATTATCCCAACAAAACAGCCCTGCCCTCTCCCACTGTCAATCCCTGCCCCAGGGCCCCATGTCCGCTGGGCTGGATCAAAGCTGCCATGCCCAGAGTGGGGCTGGGGTTAATCCCAGCCTTGTTCCCTGGCCCGGCACTAATCCCTGTGCCCAGGGCTCTGGGATTCACTGGGTTCTGTGGCTGGACCACCTGCAGGCACCCGGAGCTGCTCAGTGGCCTTGAAAGGAGCTGATAAAACAGAGAGAGAATGACCTTTCCCCAGGCAGAGAGGGATAGGACACGGGGGAATGGTCTGGAACTGAGGCAGGGAGGGTTGGGTTAAGGAGGGAACAGGTTGCCCAGGGAAGCTGTGGCTGGCAGTGTCCAAGGCCAGGTTGGACACAGTGGAAGGTGGGACTGGATGGGCTTTAAGGTCCTTCCAAGCCAAACCATCCTGGGATTCTTTTCTCTGCCTCCTCAGCATCCCAGGGCCATCCTGAGGCAGTGGCGTGTGGATTCCCAGGGGCAGCTTTGCAGCTCCACATCCCTGTTTGTCACTGCAGGGCCACAATTCCCCCTCGGGCCCCTCTCCTTGTGTCTCTGCTGCTCTCATCCCCAATCCCCCCCTTGTCCCCTCCGTGCTGGAGCTCCCTGACCCAGGCTGTGCCCCACAGGACCCCCAGCCCCAGAGCAAGAAGCCGAGGACAGAGAGCTGGGAGAGGAGCGTGGGCAAGCTCAGCACCAAGGCCCAGCTGGCCGGGCTGGTGGCCCTCAGGAAGCAGAAGCCACATCCTGCCCTGGATAACGGGATGGAAAGCCGAGGCAGCACGGCCAGCACTGGTACCTGCCCCGGGCTGGGCCCTGGGGAGGGCTCTGGAAGCCCCCAGGGGGGTTTGGCTCCGTGCTCAGAGCCTGGCGTGGCGTCCTTGGTGTGGGGACAGGGGGGGTGTCCCCATTTCCAGGAGGTTCCTGGTGAAGGAGAGGCTCCTTCCTGGCTCTGGCCTTGGGGACAGGGCCAGGAGCTTCAAAACAGGAGATACAGCCCCGGGAACGTCACAACAGGGATGGGGGTGGAACAGCAGGGAGTTGCTTTGGTTTGAGGCCTGGTGATAAACCCTGCCTCGCTGCTGGAGCTGGGAAGCTTTAAGGAATACAAAACAAGCTGGAAAGTTTTCCAGCACCTCAGTGAGCTGCCCAGCAAGCCGGGGGATCCATGATTTGGGGAAGGAGATGAGGGATTAATTTTTTCTGGGCTGGTTGATCTTAAGCCTTTGGCTTAGTGAGTCCCCCTGCCCTCGGGGGTTCCCTGGGATCCCAGCTCTTGGAGCTGTCCCCTTTTCCCTGTGCTTCCCCATCCACCTGCTCCTGGCTGCTGTTCCAAGGATTGGGGTGGTGGGAGCTCAGAGCTGGCTCCTCTCTCCCTTCCCAGGGTCTGGAATCTCCCACGGAGCTGTGGAGGGACAAGGGGGATCCCAGACCTTGCAGGGTGGAGGAGGAAGACTCCAGCCCAGGGGTTCCTTGTCCACCTGATTTATCCTCCCTGGATCCCTCAGGATGAGGCTCAGGCTCATCAGGGATGAGGCTCCACTCGGAATCTCTCCAGGGATTTGCTGGGACATGCCCTGGGGAGGCTGGACCTGACCAGATCCTCTCTCCCTCCTTTTCCAGGCTCGCTTCCAGCAGCAGCAGCAGCAGCCACGTCCTCCCTGGGTTTGTTGGGAGCCTACTCAGACAGCGAGGACAGCACCAGTGACTGAGGAGCAGGGACAGGGATGGGGCAGGGACAGGGATGGGGCTCTCCTGGTCCCTGCTGCTCCTGGAGCCCCACACGGAGCTGGAAGCACAGCCAGGGCCCCACAGGGTCCAGGCCACCACTGTCCCCACGTCCTGCCCTGCAGCAGCAGCACAGGGAAGGTGTTTTCCCTGCAGCAGGAATCCTGGAGGAAGCCCTGGCAGTGTCTGGTGTGTCCCAGCCCTGCTCCCAGGATGTGTTGGGAAGTGCCCGGGCTGGACAGGACCCTGCTGTGTCCGTGCTGGGGGTGCCACTGCCCTCACCCCCCCAGTGATCACGCCCAGGTCGGGTTTGGGGTGTCCTGAGGGACCTTGGATCCTTCCCCCCGGGGTGCAGGGGAAGGTGGGTGCTCAGCCCCTCTCCTTCACTTCACCCCGAGCTCTTTCTGTGCCAGGGTGTCTCAGATCCCACCTTTGCACAGACCTGGGGAGGCTCATCCAGCCCCTCACTGTGGGGACAGGGCTGTCCTGCCACCACCAGCCCCCCCAGATGTCCCCAGGAGTTCAGGGACAAACCCCTCCCCACCATTCTGAGCCTGCTGTGCTGCAGCAGCCACGAGTCTGGAATAAATCGGATCTGGCAGAGCCAGTTGGTTCATTTTCTTCCAGAGAGTGATTTGTGCGTGGGCACTGTCAGGTCCTGCTCCAGGGACCCCCACCCCAATGACAGGGACCCCCCCCACCCAGTGCCCACCCACCCCAAGTGGGGCTCTCCTCACCCACGGCCATGAACTTCCCCCCTCATCAAGACCCCCACTTCTAATTGCTGAGCAGCCTCTGGCTAATTAAGCCCCTCACAGAGGGGCTGGGGGGGGGGGGGGGGG